CCCTTTCTTATATATATATATATATATATATATATATATATATATATATATATATATATATATATAAAGAATTACAGTTGAACTGCCATTTAATACTATTTGGATCCCCTTGACCCCATATTCTTTTGGAAGATACTCGTTCAGATATATGGTTATATGTTTTTCAATCTACATAGTTGATCTGTTTTACTATACACATGCATCTGGAACATGCATCTTGAACAGTTTTGCGCTTTTTTGTCCACTGTTTTAAACATAATGCTATTGTTTTTATACCTTCTGAATCTTGTATGTCTTATGTTTCAGTGGTTTTATTGCCAGTGAAAATAAAAAGTTAGTGGCTGTTACAACTGATCATATTTCATCAGCCCCACATCCTTCTGCTGGACATCAACCTGCCTGGGGTGGTGTTCCAGGCCAAATATCAATGGCTGATATTGTCAAGATGGGAAGGCCACACAACAAAGCACAAAACTCAACAACTGCATCTCAGCAAAATGCCAATGCTGACTACAATGATGGCCGTAGACCTTCATACCATGTCTCACATCATAACTTTCAGTTTCCAGACGATCAGGCTTCTAAAGTTTCTGAGGTACACATGGATCAAGGGGTTTGCTCTGCACAACATGATTCAAGTAATGATGAATGGCCTTTAATCGAGCAGCCATCAGCTTCTGTTCTCCCTTCTATTTCAGAGCCTTCTGCAGATCCAGACTCTTCTAACCTAGTTTATGATAGAATTAACCAGCATCTCCAGGTGGATGAGGTTCAGGGAACAGAAGATCATGGCTTAAGTGTTGGTGCAAGCCATGTGCAATCTGGTTCCGTTCCAAACAGAAAGTTTCCGGAGGATGATTCTAGAGGTGAATCTCTATATGAAAATGACATTGACATTTATAGACACAAGGATCATGATCATTCTTCCACGCACTGGGAAAGTGAGTTTACAGGTGAACTTTTTAGTCCTTTAGAGTGTTAGTTCTGTTATCCTACCTGAATTATTGTCTTAATCGAGGCAGCAAACTTTTAGTTATTATTGCTATTGCCATCTCTATTTGCAAAAAAAATATGCTTCAGAGACATTATCTGAACTTGGTCCTATCTTTCCTGCTTAAGAGATAAAATTTGAAGATCTTAGTGTGCCATCCATTCCAGTGTGGGGTTGTTTCTGGGTGGAATGGGAGATGTGAGATTGTGAACTCAAATAGCTTCCATTGTTACAATTTTATCTCTCTAGTAAGCTCAGATATGTATCAGTAGATGCTTGGTGGTGTAAATAAAACTATGCAGGAATGAAAATGTGAATACTTATGTGCTTGCTTTCTACTTATCTTCACTTGCATCTTTGATAGCATGAAATATTAACGTTGTGTTTTGTTACAGTTGATGATGTGAATGCTTCAGTTTCATCGGCTACTGAAAACTTGCAACAACTGTCTGTACACCAGGATCAAGGTGTGCCACCTGAGGAGGAAGGGCCTTCAGTGGTTATTCCAGACCACCTACAAGTTCAAAGTGCAGATTGTTCACACTTGAGCTTTGGTAGCTTTGGCTCTGGAATCGGTTCAGCTCTTTCTGGTCCTTCGGCATCTGCTCCAGTGAAAAATCATGTAGAAGAGGTGCCTACAGATGCAGAAGATCCACCAATGGGGCACTTGACCACCAGGTATACCCTCATTCAGAATGGGCGGTTCCTAAATTGATGGTGTCCTGGGGATTTTATAGTTATTCTTTATCTTTATTTCGTAAAATGAAATGCGTGTTTTAACTTGTGAATTTCCTGGCAGAAGTTCTGAATACTATGGTGGTGAGACAAATCCACCAGATGGCAATTTATTCCATAGGACTGGAGTATCTGGGACTTACGAGTCACCTGCTGCTCCGCAACCTGATTCATTGAAAGTGGAACACAGTGAAGTTGGTCGTGCAAATCAATATAGCTTTCCCTCATCTGAACCTAGCTATAACTATGAGAATGCTCAACAGTTGAATGTGGAATTTAGTCAACCGCAAACAAGCTCACCGGTTCAGAATCTTGCACCCTTCAATGCTATGGTAAGCATGATCGATACCTTTTCTTCTGAAATGATTTGTGCTGCTTGGATATCTTACCTGAGTGCCAGAGAAGTAATATTTATAACACACCAAAGCCGTAGATTTTAATAGAATTGCATTTTCATAGCAGTCACCATTTTGGCAGCTTCAATATATTATACTGAAAGTTGGGTTTTTAAGTGTTCACTTTCAAAGTCCATGGTGCTGAACGGCTTCCATGCATTATAAACCAAGTGATTCATGTGTCGAAAGTAGTAGTTAGTTTTGTTATTGAATATGAAATGGTCTACCAACCATAACATACAGGAAGTTCGTTTTAGATTTCAGGGTGAGTGATCTTAAAATCCTAAACAACAGTTATGGTTGATGACACTTGCAATCATTCAGACAAGCTAATTTCATTTCAGTGTGTTTTGTTTTGTTTGTTTCTATAGAAATATCTATACTTGCGTAATCTGTAGTCCTCGGGGAATTAGATGGGGTTCTGCTTTTTAATTTTATACTCGCTGGATACAGATTGGATACTAGCAGTTTGGTGTGCAACAGGGATCGTTATTTTTGTGTTGATTCACTAGTCTTTTTCGGCAATTTTGTTTAAAACAGGGATACACAAATTCGTTACCAAGCAATTTGTTGGCAGCTAATGCTCATGCTCTTAGGGAGTCTGATATTTCATACTCGATATTTCCGTCTACACAAGCAATGCCCTCAAAATATGGCAACTCGGTTTCTTCAGTTGGTGGTTCATCAATTTCTATGCCCGAGGTGCACATTCGTGAAATTTTCCTTCCAAAATATGTACGTGTATGCATGTTTGTTTTTCGAAGCTGATTTTGTTTGTTATTAACTGGCTGCAGGCTTTGAAATCTGGTGGTTTGTCGTCAGCACAGCCGACTCAACAAACCCTTAATGGGACAGGTGTTGCCACGGGACCCACTTTGCCTCAACACCTTAATTTACATCCGTATTCACAACCGACAGTTCCTTTGGGCCCCTTTACGAACATGATTGGCTATCCTCCTTTTATGCCTCAGAATTATACATACGTGCCCTCTGCTTTCCAGCAAACATTTGCCGGTAATAGTGCTGCTTACCACCAATCTTTAGCGGCAATGCTCCCTCAATACAAGGCTAGTGTGTCCGTGAGCAGCTTACCCCAGTCTGCTGGCGTTGCTTCTGGCTATGGTGCTTTTGGTAATACGACTGCAATTCCCGGGAACTTCCAAATGAATACCCCCGCTGCTCCTTCGGCTACATCCTTAGGTTACGATGATTCACCAATTTCGCAGTACAAGGACAACAGCCATTTAATGTCTCTTCAGCAGCAGGTAAGCTGTTATTATTGAGTTAATACCCAAAATGGTTGTCGACTATAGTGGGTTTTCTCAATTTCGTCCTAAATGACTTTGTTGACCTAATGTAGTCCCAGACTTTTGTGTTTTTGCTCAAATTAGTCCGTTTTTTATTTTGTCAAATTGGTGTTAAATAAAGGGATAATTCAGTAATCTCAATATTGGTCTCTTTACTCTCAGCCTTGCGAAGTGTGAAATTCCTCCTTCTCTTACGAATTACTCCTAGACCTACGAGGTTTAGGAGTAATTCGTAAAAGAAAGTAGGTCTAGGACTAAAGAGATGCCAATATTGAAATTACTGAATTGTCCATCTATTTAACCCAAATGGACGGAATAACAAATGGAGGACTAAATTGAGCAAAAACACAAAAGTTTGGGATTGCATTAGGTCACCAATGTCGTTTAGGACGAAATTGAGAAAAAACCGTTATAGTTGAGGACCATTTTGGGTATTAACTATGTTATTTTCTATACTACGCGTCTTGCAACACTGGACAGATTCTCTCATTTTAGAAATTCATGTAGTCCCCGTTTTCATTCCAGAGCGAGAATTCAGCTACGTGGCTCCATGGACCCGGTTCCAGGACAATGTCGGCTGTTCCTGCCAACACGTACTACAGTTATCAGGGGCAACATCAGCAACCCGGTGGATTCCGGCAAGCCCAACAACCATCACAAAACTACGGGTCTTTGAGCTACAACCCCAACTTCTACCACTCCCATACTGGAATCTCGCTGGATCATCAACAGCAGAACCCCCGAGACGGGTCATTGGGTGGCACTCAAGGACAGCCAAAGCAATCGCAACAGATATGGCAAAACAACTACTAATCTTACCACCCGCCTCCTGGTGTTTTTCAGGGTCATGTGATGCGTGTGAAAGTGGCCTCCTGTTCAAGCTGTTGCCCTTACCGCAATAATTTGAATGCATATGAGATGATATGTCCCAAAGGGGACTTGACTGCCCCTATGCCCCGAGGTTGTACTTTACATGTTTATCAGTTAGTGTAACGTAGGACAGTGTGCAAGCTAACTTAGTGTTGGTGGACACAAATCTCTTTTCTATTTCTATTTTACTTTTTTTTTTCTTTTTTTTTTCTCTTCTCTTTCAATGTTATAGTCCTCTCTCTCATTTGGGAATTATGCTTTGCTCTTTCACTATTGTATGTACTAGTGTGATTGATTGCCTTTTGATTGCTAACCAATATTAACTCCTTTGCCAGTTTATTTGCCCCAGATGTGATTCTTGCAGTGCATTTTATATTCCTTTCGTTCCATTTTATGTGTCTGGTATGGTTAACAGACTTGACTAAAATGGGACAGAGGGAGTAGAATAATACTGGCTTCTTACGGTTACCTGTGTTTGTTGTGGAACCCTAATGACTCTTATGAACACATTTTTTAAAAGTTAATCTAATTGATGAGTAAAGTTTTAGGGTCTATTTGATTTTTTTTTTTTTTTTCTAATTTTAACTAATAGATTTTGTGTAAGACCATCTTTTAAGATTTTAAATAATAAATTTGTAAGATTTTGTTAAATAATAATTGTTGCAAATGCAAAGACTTGCAATGCTTCACAGTACTAGCAAGTTAAAAGTTCAAACTCAATATTTTTACCACAAATTCATAGATATAAATGAGAACACAAAGCAAAACTGGAGTTGTAAGCTAAACATTGTAACCAATCCAAGAAAAGATCCCAACTGTCATAAAGGCTGTACCGCCAATAGACTGGAAGGGATGGAGGGGGGAAAACTAGAAAACCAAGAAAATGTCACATTGTATAACGGCATTACAAAAAGTTCCTCTCCAGTCTCCTCGGGCATGAAACAAGTTTGCAGATTGCATGTCCTAAAATGAAGAAACAAGAACCTCAAGGAAGCTTTTAGCAGGCAAAGTATGTGTAGAAGTTGTGGTGGAGGTTTGATATTGCATTGCATTGCTCATCATTTCTTGTTTGTTCAATGTATCACTTCAAAAGAGATCTAGTGAGATGTTCACGAGCAGTGGCCAGTGCCTGACTAATAGTCTGTGGAAAAGCAGGAAAGAAGATAAGAGTTTAAGTCACGAGAAAAGCCAGTTCTGAAATGGTTTTTGATTATTCCATCCAACGAAAATCAGCAGTGCATATAAGAGAGGAGTGGAAGTACAACTAGAGTCAGCATTACCTGTTCGGACAAAGGTGCTGCAGCATCCATACTGTTACTTGCAACTTTCCCAGCTATAATATCTGCATCTGTCTCGAGAATGATTCTGCAGATGCATTAAAGCAAATGTAAAAGCATTGCATTGTGTATGAGTTCTCATAATCTCATGAGTTTAGTAAAAAGTTTATGTTCGTTAATTATGCACTGACAGTTTGTGGTTTTAAGAGAATCTTACCCCCCATCGACAATTTCATCAAGGCACAAAAGAATAAGATCCAAATTTTCAAGTGCCTCCCTCTTGTCAACATTGCCCCTGAAAGAGTGCAATTGCAACGAAATGAGTTCACGATACAAATATCAACTAAGAAAAAGATATAGTCTGGCCTTGCAAACTACCTAAGAAGAATACCAACTGCATCAAAGAATCCTTGAAGCACTGTGGCCAGTATTAGTTCATTTTCATCTTCACTCCCAGTAACAAAGAAATGAAGATCTTGAACAAATTTGTATACAACAATGTTGTTTTCAAACATTGTTATCTCGGCTGCACAAAAAGGTTATGAGTTAACCAACAGATCGTGTTCCAAATTAAAACGTTATTTGTCTTTGCCTAGAGGAATAGGGAAAATACAAAGCAAGCCTTTATTCAAAATTCATAAATCATATAATGATTTATAACAACTCAAATCTAGTTATTGTCCAGGATTGTTAGTCTGTATGAAGCAAAGTTTAATCTAGAAGCAAAGGAAAAGCATGCACACAAAAATAACCCTTTAAAGACTGTCAAAATTGTATTAACCTCAAACCAGAGCTCCTGAATGCCCAAGGAATATAAACAAATTAATGAAGTAAACTTCTGCCACATTGGCTGCATCAAGGTTCATCTTCCCATTGCACACACCAGAAGGTTAGTGAAACAATCCTCATTCTAATAATGTCTTAATCAAGTCAAAGACGGTGCCTTATAAAGGACTCAAAATGGAAGTGACAAGCAGAATTTTCAATGCAATTAAAGATGTAACATGAAAGCAGAGAAGCTCCATATGTATAGAAGAGCATGATTCCACCTTCTGTCCTTGCATTAGTCTTTTGAGTCTTGGTAAAAACAGCCTTCTCATATGCATCCTTTGCGGCATTTGATGGCCATTCATCTGTATAGTATTTGACAGCAACACGCTTTCCTTCAGAATCTAGAAGTAGAATGTTCTTCACGGAAGGGCAGGAATCCTACAGAAAAATGGATCAATGGATATTATACCACAAGAAAACTTAGGGCCCAAAAAGTAAGATGGTTAGGGAATAAATTCTTCATTCATTGCACCTTAGAAGTAAATAATGAAATACATTGCCATACTGTGTGCCCTCATACATACAACGATTGCTGTCATATTTTTCCAAGCATGCTTGCAGTATATATATATATATATATATATATATATATATATATATATATTTCTTATTTCTAAATTCCATATTATCTCTCCCCCAATACCCAGTCTGCCTCTTCCTCTTGCTTCTTTCTTCTTTGCAATTCATGACTTTCACAGTATTAAATGCCAGTTCTTTTCCTTTACTTCTCCGATATTTATGTATTGAATAAAATGTAAAGGAAAGCCCTAAATTATATAAATCCACTAACTTCGTCATTGAACTTAAAAACAAAGCAATCACACCATTGCCCACTTCTATTTGAAAAAATGAAAAAATCCTAGTAAATCAAGGCAAATTGTTCACAGTGGAGACCTTTTTGAATTGCACAAAACTCAATGGGGCAAAGCTGGAAAAAAAAAAAAAAGAAGAAAAAAATGGAAAAGATAGCTAAAAACAAAGTACCCATCTTTCTATGGGGTAGAACCACCACCCAATAGTGCAACCATCGGTTCATGGTGTTACAACGACAATTTCACTCCCCACCCCTGCTCCCATTCCTACCTGTTTTTAACTTTCATTTCAAAGCAATGCTACCAATACCAATAACATACGCACATAGGAATCTGGCCTTCAAGTTCCCTCATTCTTTCTCCCCCCTCACCCACCTCATGCTACCTTTCCAGACACTACCCCAAGGCCGTAACACTTCCTCTCCCGGATCTTGAATCCTGCCGGAAACAAAAATTCCGTAACCGCAAATGTCATGATTCCAAGCTCAAATCGCCCAGCGATGGGACGATCATAGCCTAACCACTGGATAATACGGCAGTAGGTTTTTACACTAACAAGCCAAACTCCTTAAGCGATCGGATCCTAAAATATTCGCAATAAATCGCTTAGACGATTCTGAAGCCTCAAAGCATTCTCGCCTCAGAATCTCAGATCGATCAATTACACAAATTTACAACATGCATTGTTTCAACAGTGATCTATCAACTATAAGGGGAAACTGAAATGCATAACTATTATCCAAATCAAATCTGTATAAGATTCAGTAACACCACAAATACGGAGTAAAACCATGTGCGCGTGACTATACATTTACGCATATAGAGCGAGAGATAGAGAGAGAAAGCTGACCATTGTTAGAGAGAGAATTTTGATGAAAAGATCACAGCAGCTTCGGATCGCTCTGCCTAAGGACTCAGGAGCTTGGACAACAGCGAGGGAGAGAGACGACAGACGAAGGACTTAATAATACCTTAATTTGTATTCTTCATAAAAAAAAAAAAAAACTTGCTTTATAAGTAATACTCTCTTTTTTTTTAAACGCTTTATAAGTAATACTAGCATTTTGTATACTAAAAAAATTCATATCCAATATTAAAATAAAATGAGTATAAATAATTAAAAATTATAGATCTCAACAAACAAAAAAATTTATAATTCAAATTATATATATATATATATATATATATATATATATATATATATATATATATTATGCACACATAATTTATCATTCATAGAAATTTAATTAAAATATAATTAATAATTAAATAATTAAAATTAGTTATATAACTATTTTAATAAAATGATAATAATTACATAATAGGAAAAAATACGATAAATATAAGTGTATGGTAATAATGACGAAGTCATCCATATTAGAAATAAATAGTAACGGAATTATAACGGCATAATAGTAGTTTTGTCTAACAAGAATGCAGTAAGAACAATTTTGTCCTATAAAATTAAAAGTACAACATTTAAAGTAAAATGTATACCATTATTAGCATAATAAAAGGGACATAAATAAGATATAATGGATTGAGACTTATTATATTTTTAGATTAGATAGATACTCTGTAATATTTTTCATATGTGTGATACGTAAAAATAAATATTCAATATTAGTATTAAAATTATAATTATATTAAAATATTTTTTTAAAATAGTATTTAATTTTTTAAAAAATAAAGTCTTTAAAATCATATTATATTAAATAATATAATTGATAATTCAGGTAATAATAATCATACTTATTAAAGTAATCATTTAAAATATAGTAAGTGATTAAATATAATTATGTTAGTATTTAATATATATATATATATATATATATATATATATATATATATATTATGAAAGTGATGGTATAAAGGTAATTTTATGCAATAAAAATGATAGTATAATATATGTAGTGTGATGTAAAAGGTCGGTATTTGTACCCTTGCATAAATATTGGGATCGCCTACTGTTGGCCGGCGTTCGGTTGCAGTGGGGTCCTACCAGCCTCTATCGACCACAATGTGGTTGGCGCAGGCGATGCACCACCGGAAGGCATTATAGCTGTGTGTGTGGGTTGGGGGGCGGGTTGCTCAAAGATGTCCGACGTTCGTGGCTGGCGAGGTGCCGCGCCCTTACGGCGAGGGGTGGTAGTTTGGGCCGGTATAGATTTGGGATCGTGGCCTAAAGGCATGGGCGTACATGCATAGGCGGCATGGCGGGGGTGGTGATCGACTCCTGGCGCATGGTCGGCGATGTTAGGCCATCGAACTTCTTGTGACGTGGCCTGGCTAGCGAGGGCCAAGCACCCCACAGCACACCATTGGCACCCTCATCGACGAGGGTGTGGGCATGTGTACTTGGAAAGGAGGGGGAAATAAGGGGGTGGGGGTGGGGAGGGGGCGAGCATGGTAGCATGGAGGGAGTCATGAACAACCTTTGTTGGTCGGCGCTTGGCTATCAAAGTGAGCTTGCCAGATTTCCTAGGCCATGTCGTAGCCAGCGCGTGTCGAGCGCTCCCGTCAGCAGGACCATGGAAACAAGTTGGCATAAAGGGGTATGGTAGAGTGGTAAGGGGGTAGGGAAGGTGGGTGAGAAGTTGGAGACAGGACCATGGAAACAAGTTGGCATAAAGGGGTATGGTAGAGTGGTAAGGGGGTAGGGAGGTAGGTGAGAAGTTGGAGACATGGGTGAAGACATGTGGCATGACATGCACACATGGAGGGTGGATAGGGAAGACAAGCCATGACGATCTACTTGGCAAGACGTGAGAGGTTCTTGAACACTATAAAAGAGGGGTGGATTTTCCTCCTTTGGACATCATGGTCTGAGCACGACAAATCTCATGATCTAGTGGTATTTGTTTGCACTTTCAACATATTCACTTGGGTTGGTCTCCCAGTTGCAATATTATTCCTAATTTCTTACCTCATATTCTGTACTTCCGTACATGATCCCGATAAAACCAGAGGGTCTCAACTGCTTTTGTCCTTAAATTTGGTAGGGGATGTTAATTGCAAAATTCAAACAACTATGTATTATATTATATCATATATAATGTAATAGTTAGGTAAGTAATTCATGACTTAATATAAAGTTTGACCCATAAAAGAAGTAGTGCAAAACTAATTTGCAGTTTGTGTAGTGGCTCGAGCTTAAATTGAATAAGAATCATTATTATATAGATTTTGATGGGATAAGTAAAATGTATTGAGCAAATTAGAACCCCTAATTTATTTGTAACTTTCTCTTTCTAAAAATGTTATAAAAGCCAAATAAGAAAAAATGTGTAAAATAAACGACAAATGTACAATTCGAAATACCTAAATACAACATACCTTGACAAGAGTCAAGAATTCGAACGGAGACTGGACGTTATTTTCAATCTTGGCATGAGCAGTTGCAGGGGTCTTCGTTTGCTAATAGGCATGTTGTTCCTCCCATTGGTGATACCAATATACCTGCTGATGTAATTAAACTTTATGTGGATGCGGCTGTATTTAAGGAGACAAACCAGGCAAGTTTTGGGGTGGTTATGCTTAATAATATGGATGTTTATGAAGCTGCTTTGAGTGGACGAGTTCGTTGTATGAATGATGTTCATTTAGCAGAAGCGTTTGCTATTAAGGAAGCACTATCATGGGCAAAAGCGAGAGGTCTTCGTAAGGTGATGGTGAATACGGATTGTCAAGCAGTTTGCAAGTTACTAAATGGTTCCTTGTTAGATCTATCTTTTGCAGGCTGTGTTATCAACGATTGTAGAGAACTTAAGCGACACTTTGATATGGTGTCTTTCTGTTATGTTTCTAGATCAGCGAATAGGCTTGCACATACGCTAGCAAGGGCGGCTCGTTCAAATACTGATCCTCATTGTTGGATATCTACTTTTCCTTCTTGTATTGCTTCATTATTATAATAAATCTTTTGGAGGTTGGTTTAAAAAAAAAAAAACAAAATATAACATACCTAATAGTGACTGGTTGCTAAAATAGCTAAGATAGCAGTAACATAAGAACTATAATAAACAATGGTAGAATGACAGTTCACTAAAAAGGTAGGCTTGGGAAAAATCAACATACTAATATCTTTGTAAACCTATTAAAGAGAGGTCTCGAGAAAACTCTATAAATTGTGGTAGAATTGAAATTGCGACAGACCTTATCTAAAAGTTGAAGTTTATAAGTAGAGCCATACATGTGGAGCAAATAAGATTTACTATAAGTATCTCATAGAGCAAGTCAAGTCAATAATATTAGATCTAGAAGTTAGGATTAACATAGACAATTTCAAGGAATAATTCTCAAACTCCCATAATACATGGAGTACAAGAATGCTAGAGAATGTATTACCTCGGATTTATTTAAAAAAAAATTGTTAGATACAACTACCAAGTAAGGTTTGAGAGATCATGACAACAAAACAAAAATGTCAAAAAGTAAAGCACCATTTTATTTATTTATTCTTATTGTTGCAAAAAGCAAGACTTGCACACAAAAGGATGCTGCAACAAACTTTAAGGACAACAACTTCTGGACGCAACTATTTACCTACATGAGTGTCAACAAACATAAACACATTTAAAAATTTTCGAATTCCTGAACTCGCAACTCTTATATATAAATTCAACCATAAAGCTTGAAAACAATACTAGAACTTTTGCGATCTTGCGAATCTAGTTAGTTGTGTTTACACGGAATTCATCAAGCATTCAAGCTTCACTAAATCATCCAAATTCAAGTGTCCAACACCCGTCTTCTAAAGACAAAAACCAAAACTCTTGGTAGTGTTGGGAGACTTTTCACTCAAGATAACTTTGTTGTAGATCCTTAGAGTGAAGTAGTTAGATAGTGAAGACACAAGCAACTCTATATCAGGTTTGGTTTGACCGACTATCAAAGGGAAGAATGCCAAGAGTAAAACATCTTATTGGTCGATTATACCAGATTGTGATGGGAAAATCTAAATATACTCCAAGGAAAGGTGGTTACAGAATAAGTCTCACTGAAAACCAATTCCTTAAATGGAGTATCAATTTAAGGAGACTAGTGGCACAAGATGTTCTTAAGTCATGGCCATTAAAAATAGTATGTCTCCCCGATTCATATATACTTAATGTATAACTGTTTGGGGGTATGAACCTAAACACTTAAGTTTTGTGACCATTAATCACTTTGAAATTGTATAAATATTTAATTAAACCCCTCATTGAAGTTTAAGGAGAAAGGTAGAGTAAGAGATTTCTCGAACCAGTATAAAAATCCATCTCTCCATATGCTTTACATTATTTGGTCATTATATTTCTTATAAGATCCATAAAACACGCACGGACACTTATGCGTTCAAGACATACAACTGCAGACTATTTTTCGTAAAACTTGACAAGTTAGAGATTTCCGTTGTTCACTATATGTACTTAGTTCTTAAATAGAAAATTTTATAGAAGTCTAGTGAACCCCTCTCCCTCCCCATCCTTCTAGACTTTTACTTATTTAGGACTAGCAAACTATGCCCATATGATCTCGACTCAAGCAACCTAGTAAATGTGATATTCTAGGTTAAAAAACAACCCGTATATGATCTTGACTCAATTACAAGTTGTGATATTAATGTGATATGGATATATAGAGCGTATGTATCTATTTTCGACCATTATGAACTACTGTAACAATTTTCATGACTTTAGAGATCGGAAAATCAATATTGTCTGAACAAGTGAATATCAGGTGAAGTGTCCTTTCATCTATTTCATCAAACTGAGTCGCATTAGCACAAACAAGTGATTTACCGATCTAATTAAATTAATATGTAGATAAATGCAATGTACCCCTTGTTGGTGGAATTTCGACATGTGCTCTCTAGTGCAACACTATAAAAGCAAGTTTGCTAGCTCATCAAAAGATGAACTTTTAGGACTAAAACTTTTTTAGTATCACTTGACATTGCGAGAACTTCCGGACCACGAACTCTAGTGACCTCTGTGCTCAG